CCCCCCGCAATCCGCCGCATCCCAATTCCGTGTTCAGAAAGGAAATTAAGTGTACTACAGAACCCCTAAAGGGAATAAATAGCCTAAGAGATGGGAGGATAAAAAAAATATTTCAGTACTTTCTCTCACAGTTATATCGTTGGGTAATTATACTGTATATAAATTGCAGGCATCAGGAAGCCGCTACTAATATGCAGGGCATTGAAACCGCTTTGATTAGATATTTGTCAGTGGTGCTCAGTATCTGCAAATCATTCGCCATTGTCCAATCAGTCATCTCTCCTTACTCTGTGTATGTAGTAAGTGAACTTTCATGTACTATAATGTAACCGTCTACAGCTAGCAAGTGACTAACCATGACCCTTTAGTGGCTCCATAGAACGCGTTATTTGTTTTCCGTGCCTTTCTGCATAGGGATTCACGCTTCGGGCACACCCCCTAACAAACCTTATAAGTAGTAATATTTTGTAACTGATATGGAAAATGAGCTGCTGCTCCCCGCCCACTTTTCTAGAATAGAGCTGCACTATTACAGCTCGTACCTGCTAAAAACATCTGTTTTGGTTCTGATTATCATGTTTATCGCGCTGAAATCATGCGTTTTAAACCATCTTGGTTTAAACTTCTGATATATTGTTTTCTGAGAGCACACATCCGAAGCACACATACAGAAAGCGGCTGTCAGTACTAAACTAAGTTCTCATTCACACACAAGTTTACGTTAAAACACACATGAGTTACAAAAAACAGTCGGTTATGTCTGTGAGGTAAACAGCTGGGAAATAAATTGCATGTTTATTTTAGATCTGTGTGGCAGCAGCAATATACATTAAATAAATCAATAAATTCACTGCTCTCTTGTCTCCTCTGAGGCTGGGACTCTAAATAGTGTTCTGTGCTCGTCTGTGCAGCCAATGACAGAACAGTTAGCATGTTTTGCTCAAACTTTCGCCATGGCATTAGAACTAGTAAATCGTTGTCGCTAAGCGAAATCAAATGATGGCGCTGTGGGTGTAAACTTACAGAT